TTTTATGTTTGCAACATGACTTGATCATTCATGTGCCCAAGCACATGGTTGAAGGCATTAAATCTGCTTAATTCATTGATTTAATCATTTCAGTATATCTTCCCGAGAAAACCCCACTCATAATCATAACCACAGCAGAGAAAAAGATCTGCTTTTTTTTTTTAAGAACTAAGACAAAATGAAAAACTTGATAACTGACTTGCCAAAGTTGAACCTTCATTGTTTCAAACACCAGTCTGTGGCAAGTTTTGTGCATAAGCACCACTGCAGATGAGCCCCATGGCTGGGGAAGGTGGAGAAGCAGGGTTTTTCACTTTTTAACAAGTCCCCCGTCACCAAGCTGCCTATAACACCTCTTCCAAATTGATCTGATCCCTTGTCAACAGTTCAGCCCCCTTCCTTGACCAGACCAATCCATGCAAAAGCCTCAGTTCTGGGGATTCTCGATTCTTCCTCTGTGGAGTCACCTGGCAGCTTTCCAGGTGACTCCACAGAGGCCTGCACTTTCTAACAAAAGGAATGCTGCTGAAAGGAATTGGTTACCAGGTGTGGCATGAAGTTAGTGAACCAGAAAGAAGGGATTTATCGCCATTTAAAAAGAGGAGGGTGAAAAAGAAAGAAAGAAAAGAAAATAAATCAACCAACCATCAGGAATGACACCTAAACCTACCTCTACCGATCTGAAATATGCTTTAGAGTGAAAAGCCTTTAAAAGAAAAATCAGGTCGGTCAGATATCAGTTGCAGAAAAGTATGCAAAGCTGGAAAGTTTGGCTCTTCTGTTGGGGGTTAAGGTGGGGATTGTGGGGAGGTCTCCAGGAGACATTTCTCCAGCATGACAATAAGATGAGATGTCAATGATATTTTGCTATCTTGGATTTATTATTTTTAATATATTCTTTTTTCGTCTCCATGTTGACTCAGAAAGGCCTCATGATTCTTGGAAAGTCATTGAATTTATTTCTATAATTAAGTTATTTTTAAGCTAACAGTCTTAGTATATAGTTTTTAAGGATCACACATACTAATTCATTTTCTATTTTAGTAAAATTTAGTGAGAAAGTAGATAGTATTAGTAGATATTCTCCAGAGCTTTTGTGTAAGCCTGGATACTAACTTTGTGTTCAATACAAATCAATGGAACTAGTGCACTTTAGGGTACTCATTCCCTAAGGAGTCACTAATGGAATTATCTCTAGCCCTTAAAAAAAAGTCACAATGAGGCTAATGAAATTTTTTTTTCTAAGTGAAATCTGGATAAGGCCCTAGACTTACTAGCACATTTTATTTATGGCATTCATCATATATGGCATGTTTTACAGGCAAGTTGTACAAATCTCAGAATGTTTTTAAGAGCTATTTCATACCTAAGAAGACTTTGTAATTTCGGGTTAAATTGTTTGTACCAATAGAGAAGTATATGTCCTCAACTTCAAAATCATTCCGGGATGACATTAAAACTTAGAGAATTTTTTAAATATGAGATACAGATGAAAAACCTAACAGTCTTTGGATTGGAAATAACTTGTGGGGGTTTTCATTAAAGTTGGGTGCAGCTTGCTGCATTTTGGTTAGTTGGATGTCTTCAGCAATTTTTCAAATGTTTTGGGTTTGGCAAAGTCCAAAATGTTTTTGCCAAGACCCTCTTTTCCCCTTATTTTTTAAACCCGTGTGAAATTCAAGGATAACTTAATCCATATGTGTCTGATTCATTTACACTTAACTCATCAAAATGTTATTTTGTAAGACCCATTTAATATTCAAGAAACCTTCTGAGCCTTTTTTAAGACGCCTTTTGTTTTTGAACCAGTGAGTTGTGTTTTTCCATATGAATGGAGCTTGGACCTTGAAAGATTGAAGATCAGTTGATTTTCAACTTAGACTGTTCAAATTCTAAGTAGAATCAAAACTTGATATTCTGTTTACTGCTTGAGCACTGAATAAATTCGTTTTAAATCATAGATCAGAAGATGTGGAAAAAATTAATGTCATGTAATTTGGAGGAAAGATCATATTTGTAAATTTCATCTTAGTAGTATTAAAGAAATAAAAATTACTCTTAATTTTATTTTTTTAATCTATAACTAAATGACTCCATTTTATGTACATTGGTGTGTTTTTAAAGAGTGGCCTGTGGATCATTACAGTGGGGTAATTTCATTTTTTAGTAGTAAAGTGTCCTTACAAGTCAATTCATTAATTGTTAATTTTAATAATAACATCTATAGTGTTTATAAGATATCCCAAGATCGGAGAGTTGACGATTGGCAGGAGTTGTATGTTAAGAGATTTCTGAAAAATTGGGGCACATATGTTTTTAAAATTCTCTGTGATTTGAAAGAATGTGGTAGAGTTACGAAGCTGGCAAGATAGAGCACTATGGATCATAACCATTGTTTGAGAACAAAAATTCAGAGAGGCATATGGAGCCCAAGTGAAGGAAGCAAAATCTCTATGACCCTTTGTAAAAGGATCTAGTGAACACTTTCAGAGGCTTTTATGCATATTTGTTTAGTAGAACTGGGCAAAGAAAGGCCATCACCATTGCTGCTAGTGAACATCCCTTCCATGCCATGGTAACTAGTTGAAAATGTAATACTGAAGTGGCATTTCCAAGTTCAGCGCCTCTATGAAGACCTGCTAGCACACAGAATGCTTTTTTAATGTTCTGCATTGTTGTGTATCCCCCATTGAACAACCTTTTGAGAGGACCCCGTTTTTTACTAATGTAAACATTCTGACGAGTATCCAAAGAAATGACCTTTGAGTGAACCTCTAACCTTCCCTGTAATTATTTGTTTGAAGACAGTGTGGAGTTCTCCTGCTGAGAACTGAGAACCATGATGCCTTGCAGCTCTGTGAGTAAGGGAGTGTTTGGGGGAACTGGAGAGAAAGACATAAATAAAGGAACAACCTCCAGATGTAAATAATAAAAGAGTAAAAGGGTGAAATTAAAAAGGGAAAAAATAGCAATTCGTTTTACCTAAAGAGTAGGCCTATAGGAAAAAACAAAACCAGGATTAGTAGCACAGAAAAAAGAGGTGAAACCCCTGCCATGTGTGTCCTCCATTAGAAACTTCAAGGAGGAGAGAAGAGGTTTCTCTGACTCTCCTGAGCCTCTCAGTTGGTCCTAACCTGAGCTGGTAGAAATAGCTCCTGGCAGGCGAGGAGTGGAAATCTCAGGTTAGTCCTCCTTGGTCCCAGTAAAAACGATGGGGAAAG